ACGTTCATTTTGGCAACAAAATCTCTTCTGGGGTGTGCCCTCCTTTGCAACCCATAAATATTAGTTTTTCCCCAGTGCTGTGCTGATAGCATCCAGAAAAAGTTGGAGAGAGCTGCCAATATCTTCTCTGACTCTGCACTTCCATGGTCTCTGGGAAGATGTGGTACAAAGTCCCCGCTCGAGTCCAGTGTGACCAGTGACCTAAACTCTGGTCTTAAATCAGGAAGAACAGGGAGTTGAATAAATGCAGAACAAAAATAAATTTATAGACCTCAAATGCTGCCACATCTAATCAGAAGTAAGAATGAGTTTGACAGAGGCAGTTGTTCTCTTCCTCCATCTCCCCTCACACCACCCTCACCCCCAGTCCCACCATCTGCTTTGGCCATGCAAGAGAAGCTCCAGAATTCACTGCAAGCTCTCACTCAGAACAGCCAGGGCTGCACCAGGAAAGACTGAAAACTTTCTGGTAGAGGCAAAGAGGTCTGTTTCCACAATTCTTACTCACAGGCAAGTAGAAGTCCTGAACTGACTGACAAATGTAGAAGCTAAACAGCTTTATGCTGAATGCAAATTCTCACTGCAAAGCCACCAGAATCTGCTAACCTCACCTTTTTAAGAGCATGCTGTGTTTCAGAAACATGGTATCTGGATACTCTCTTTTGCTAATTCAGATCAGATCTTTATATTTGTGCTTTTTTGAGTTACTGACAGCTATGCAGACCCTCAAAAGCTTTGGTGTTTGCTTTATTCTGTTAATTTCAGCCACATGTTTTTTCTCACTTTTTCCTCAGCTTGTCAGCACTGGAATCTATGAATCCATTTAATTTAAAATGTTTGCTTCTTTATATGTACTGCAGATTGTAATCCACCTACACCATTAAGGGAAAGCAGCCCTTTTTCCCCAATGGGAAATGCAACCAATTTCTAGGAACAACTAATCCATTCCTAGATAGGTGAATGCTGGAATGTCAGCATTCACACTAGCATTACAGACAGAATAAATCAACATTGACAATATAAAACACTTCATATGAGAGTGCTTACAAAGGTAAGGGGGTCATAGAAAATTACAGCTCTCTCCCCTCCCCTGGTAAAAAGTTACTCCTGGACAGTTTTGCTTTACACTGCACGTATATCCAGCATACAAGAAACTCCAAAAAGCAAAAAGAAAAGCACAGTGATAAATAGGGAACTTTGGTTTTAGCCCAGGAGAGATTCATCACTATGAGTCTTGTGACTTTGACAAATTTAACAATAATGAGTTGTGTATACAACTTACAATAGCTGACAGAGAATAATATACTCCATCTGCTGGAGCTGTCACAGGAGGCTGACATTCAAGGTCTAAAAACTTTCACATTTCTTTTTTTTCCCCTCTATAATAAAAAGCATTATGAAACAGTCATTTGGTTCATTTTGGAAAGCATACATTGAAGTGAATAGATGCTATTTGAAGAGGAAACTCAAAATGCATGTAAAAAGATTTTGGTGATGCCAATATGTTATGTTCCTTCTATATGGAAGAGTCTCTCTGACCTGCCACTCACTCTTGCTATCATAGGTAATTTTCATCTTGATACTTAACTGCCTTCTTAAAAATCTTACAGGAACATTAAAGATGCCAGAGAGCTCATGCATGTCATCCTGATAACAGACCCTGCTGCAGGGCAGTAGATACACAGTGGTTGACAAAAGTATAAGATCAATTTCAAGACTATGAAGAACAAATCGATAAAATCTCAGGGGAGAATGAAGTCACTGAGAGTTTTAAATAACTACATGAAAATATTAAGCCAAACACCCTGGTATGAAATAGTTCCTCAGCAGAAGCAATAGACACCCATGAAAAAAATTATGCACTAGAGGACCACGAAGATGCTCCCAGGGCTGGAGCACCTATCCTATGGGGACAGGCTGAGAAAATTGGAGTCATTCAGCCTGGAGAAGAGAAAGCTCTGGGGGGATCTCATTGAAGACTTCCAGTACCTAAAGGGGGCTTGTCAAAACACTGGAAAGTGACTTCTTACACAGTCAGATAGTGATAGGACAAAGGGGAATGGTTTTAAACTAAAAGAGGAGATATTTAGATTAGACATTAGGAAGAAATTCTTTCCTGTGAGGGTGCTGATGCACTGAAACAGGTTGCCCAGAAAAGCTGTGGATGCCCCAACCCTAGCAGTGTTCAAGGTCAAGTTGGATAAGGCATTGAGCAACCTGATTTAGTGGAAGGTGTCCCTGTCCATGGCAGGGGGTTGGGACTAGATTAACATCTCTTCCAACACAAACCATTCTATGACAATGCCATTCCATGATTCCACACCAGAGTTATTTGCTAGAACTGTTTTTCTAAAAATCTGTTTGCTTCAGTTGTTCCTAAATAGTTTCTAAATAGCTTCACTTTGAGAGGTCTGACTTCAAGCAAGGAAACTGCTACAGTGGAAGACTTTTGGCCTTTTCATTCCTGTAATGATGCTCAAATTCTTAGTGTTACAGAGTCCTCTACACTGGCCACACTCAAAACCTCATGCATGGTACAGAAGTCAGGAACTGTTTTCCTTTTAGGTTATCACAGTTTGTTTCACTTATCACACTCAAAACCTCATGCATGGTACAGTTTTCCTTTTAGGCTATCACAGTTTGTTTCACTTACGGCAAGTAAAGATTTTGTTTCTATATCATCCACTATGCAATACATGTTCTTTATTCTATGCAAACAAGTGTCTCAGAAACCATAAGACTGATCATATGTTTTATAAGATTTCCCTTTTCTCAACCCTTAATATTAAAAAGGAGAGCATTTTTGCCCAGCTTTGGAAGATATGCCTCCTGAGCAGGTTTTGAACAAGCCAAGAGGGATGGTGGGTGGATGTGGATACATGAACAAGACATCAAAACAACAAACTTTATTTACCTGAAAAAGGTGCTTTCACATAATGCAGTTCCTGAATGAAGGTAAATTGTCCCTTTATCAAAGATACTTCAACTACATTTCTAACTATTTCTGCCCAGAACAAGGAATTTTCTTAGTGCAACTATTACTCTCCTGCCTGCACTTGATCAGCATTTGTTTCAGGCCTTCCTACAGTCTCTTTCACATCTGACCAGAGCAGCAGATTAGCAGAGCTGTTTTAAAGCAACAGTGCTGCTCCTCCTAGGTCAGGCCTATAAAAGTGATCTAATTCAACCTTGAAGTTTGCCATCATCTGCAAAACATCCAGCCCCCACAACCAATGAATAAAATATTCCACTATAGCAACACTCAATGGAAGTTGGCATGGCCCTTTTTGATTACCTTTTTTAAATTCTTTTCTCTGCCTTTTCTACTTTCAGCTTTTTTGACAGGAAAAAAATACCCTCATTTACAGGCTTGAAGCCTAGTACTTCCACGTCCCAAGAATAGAAGCCTATTAATTCTGGCAAAGAGAACTTCACTGAGAGAAATCAGGTTTAAACTTTTGAGAGGCGTCAAGAATGTTCAGTCAATTGAGCAACTGAGTTAGCCAACTGCATTCCTGGAAACTTTGCAACAGAAGGAAAGAATCAGAAAAATCAAATTAAGTGTGATTTACCCCTGACACAGCCTGAGACAAAATGTGAAAGAAAAAGAAAAATAGATAAAACTTAATTGGCAAAGGAATAATATACATGGCTGTCTCTCAGAACAAGAATAAATTAGACCTGCTATGATAAAAGCACAACAAGAATACATTTTCAGGAAAAGTGTAAAACATGCTTTCATTTTCCTGTTCCCAAGCTGTCAGGCAGAAAAAGATACAGGCTTCTCTTTTCATCCTGTGCTTTGCTCAGACTAACTATGAGCATTTAGAGAACATAGCTTGAGTGAATAAACATGCCCTGGCAGTCATGAATACAGCCAACCTAGCCCTCAACTATCTATGTCTAGCATGGATGACATGGGTTGCATTGACAATCTAGCAACCCTAGAGAGTCAGAGCAACTCAGTGAAACTCCTACCTTTGGTTGTGTTCAATTCACAAGACACTACATGCTCCCTCTGCAGACAAAAATATTTAAAATACTTCTTATTAAAGAAACTTCCATGTCAAGACTACAGCCATACTCTTTCCTCAGGCTGAAATTCTGTGTCAGCTTCAATGTCACATAAGAGCAACAATTTTCTACAGAGTTGATGTTCAGGTTTATCAAAGACAGATGAAAACCTAACTCAAAGCATCCCATAACATGCCTTAGACTAGAGCCAGCATCTTTGGATACCTCAGTGAACTTGGCAAGGCTTTGCATGCCTCTAAGTATGGAACATAACTCATCAGTTATGACCTTTAGCTCAAGATTAAGCAGATCCAGAACAGATCCCCAACCTCACCAGACAAAGCAAGTCAACACAAACATGAAAAAACAAGCTCTCCAGAAAATCCCAATTTCTAATAAACAATAGCATTTCATAAGTACATTTCCATTACAAAATTAATTGAAAAAAAATTTATACAAAGTATCTCAACTCAGCAGTGAAATTCAGACACTTTGCAGGTTGAAATACAACCCCATTTATAGCAACACAGTATTTTAAATAAAGCAAGCAAAAAAAAACTTCTCAAAAACTCTTGGTTGACACAGGCATTAAAATATTTAGCTGTTCCCAACACAATTTGTTTGCACAATGTTTAAGAAGGTCCTGTAAAAAGTAAAAATATGTTTCCTGATTTATTTTTCCTTCCTTCAGACTCTGGGAGATAAAGTTTAAAGGTGGGGTAGATCTGAGGAAGGTTTCCACCCACCTCTGAAATAATTTAAAAAAGGAGAATTATCAATACATCCAACATCTTAATTGAGCTAACTTAGGCAAATAAAGAAAGCTCTTTTGATATTCACACCATGTGAATCTAAAGACTAAATCCTTGGCTGGAGGCAGCTTGCTTTACTGATTAGCTTTAGAACTATTTCTTCACAGAAATTGCCCCTTCATCAACATTGTCTCTTAAAAAATGCTAAACTCAACATAAATAAAAGTAAATTACCTCTAGGTTCACCAATGTAGAAAGACACATCTTTTTTGTCCTCTTGTTCATCAATGTGATCATAAGTGATCTGTGGAACAGACAAGGAATTCTCTCCTGGGTTTATTACAGGTGCAGAACCATTACCACAGCCTAACTTCCCTTTTCTTTTGTATCTTCTAGCCTGTGGTAGTAGAAATGGGATGGTATCAGAAGATATAATAAAACACAAATACACATATGAACTATTAGTCAGTTCTTGAATTAGTATACATTTTATTTAAAGAATGACATTCATAGAATCATAGAATTTTAAGGGTTGGAATGGAGCTTAGAGATCATCTAATCCCAACTCCTGCCCTGGGCAGGGACACCTCCCACCAGAGCAGGTTGCTCAAGGCTTTATCCAACCTGGCTGTGAACACTGCCAGGGTTGGGGCAGCCACAGCCTCCCTGGGCAACCTGGGACAGTGTCTCACCACCAGAACAGGAAAAAACTTCTTCCTAATATTTAACCTAAATTTCCCCTCCTTCAATTTGAACCTGTTCCCCCTTGTCCTATCACTGCAGCTCCTAACAAAACTGAAATTCAGTGAAAGGGTTGCTACTTTTGCTTATGTTTTCAAAGTATCTGATTCTGAATTATCAACTTCAATCTCATAAGAATTTGATTCTCGGGAGAAGATACCTAACACATTCTGAGAAATCAAGTCTCAAGTCAATTTCTCAAATTAGGACCAAAACTCAAGGCATACAAAGTACTAAATACTAATCACCTGAGTACACAAGAGCTTGGCTGTAACATCTTTCTAAAGCTGAAATTAAACATAACCATAGATTTTGAACTATGAACTAGGCTCTGTGTAGCCTTTTCAAAAAAGGCTAAATTAGGAACAACAGGAGAATCCAAATCTTTCTTCCTGCCTCCAAACAGTTCTCAATGATTTTAGAAGAGGCACCCTAACAAACATCCTGCAATTTATACTTAAAAATGAAAAATTAAGGTTTGGATCAACGCAAACAGCTGCAGGATCAATGTATTCACAAATGGGACAATGTTATTTGGTCTACACAAATAATTCTAATTTTGTTATGGCCTACATTCAGACTTTTGGAGTTCATTCTTCTTTTCAGCTCCGCAGCAGTTAAAGAAAAGCATGCTCAAAAATCAAACAGGGGGAAAAAATGGCAGAAATGGGTATTTCTGGTAGACAGTGGATGCAGTACCGTGCATCAAAATGCTTCCAAAAGCAAAGATTACAGGCTCTCATAGCAGGAAAAGAAACTAGAAATTCTCTGGAAAACAAAATGCATAAGGTGATTAATTTATCTTTAAGTCCTTAGAAAAGAAGCTATGTAGACAAGGAAGGAACAAGAGATGATCCTTTGGTAAGAGATGAAAGAGCCATTACTATGTTTTTAAATTAAGGTTAGCACTTCACAGGAAGGTTCAGGTTTAATAATACATTAGGGAATTTCCTCTCACTAGAGGAAACAGAGGGAAAGTAATACCTAATTTTTCCAGCTCTCCAACCATAGATTGGTTGCTGTTCAGAAACACAATCTAAGGGGTCTTACTTCAGCTTTATCCCTTTTCTCCTTTTTTTTTCTGTCTCTAGTTCTGGAGACTTCTATACACAGCCCCAAATCAAAGCACCACAGAGTACTTGAGCAAGAAAAGAATAGCTACTGGCCAGCCACATACTGCTAGTGAACATGAGTTTTTAAATGAGCTTTCTCCTTTCTTCCTGTATAAACTGCTATGGAAAATGAATGCAAAATGGGAAAGTGTCATCATTACCTTACACTGCCCTTTGAGAAGGTAGGAGATTTCAAAGACATATAGAGAATTTAGTACCTGTCTTACCACAAGGGCAAATTTAGAGTCAGGAGACAACTGTTCCTCAGGAATATTTTAAGGAAAACTAAACTAATCGTGCTGAGGCATGAGAAAACAACCAAACGTATTTCAGCTGTCCAAGGTCTTCAGTTCTATCACAAGGCTTTTGGCAAGTTATCCCCATGAAATCAAAAACTAGCACAGAACAAAGCTCTGTCAATCCTCCCTTACCTGTTTTCTCAGATTAGGGCTAGATGGCGCTGGTGACTTTTTGGGATTTTGCACTGGAGCTGTAACATAGATCTTCCATGTGGCTGTGGAAGGGCAGGATTTCTCTGCTGCATAGCACCTCCACAGCGTCTGTAATAAAACCCAACCCAAATAATCTCCATGATTAAGCAGTGACTGTTGTCCTGCAGGGTAGGTAAGTCAGATTTTGCTGCAGATCAAACTGACAAAATCTTCAGTCAAGGCAAACCTCCCTGCAAGGGGTTTTGACTGTGCTATACCACACCATGCCTAGTAAAATCCACTCTTCTCTCTACACAACTGTGCTGAATGCAATTTGCACCAGGACATATCCACTTATCACACAGTGATCTTCAGTATGCTCTTTGCAGCTTCTCCCTAGGAGCTGGGATCCAACAGCAAAAAAGGAAACAAATCAAACCCAAACAACCCTCATAAAAGTGAATCTCCCCAAGCCTCATTGAATATTGCTGTTTCCTTTCTTCTGTAGCATGCCACATTTATATGTTTGTGCACTCTGGTGCTGTGTTATTTATATTATCATATAGAATGTTATCCTGGGACATTTTTCAAAACTGATGTGTGTCATTACATGTATTTGTACACACATTTTTCAGCATAGGATTTGGCAGATGCACCTAACAGAGCATGAAAAGGAGGTTATGAAATAAATATCATAAGGATGATTTTCTTTAAAAACTTATTTTACCAAATAAACTCGTTGCACCCAGTCAGTGTCAGGTTAATCAAGTTTCCCATGCCCACCCAGAGAGGCAGGACAGGAAATTACCTTTTTTTTTAGTGACAAAGTGGTTAAACACAAGTTCTAGATTTATAATAGGAACTGGGATTCTCAATACCTCTATACCAGAACACATTCCCTCTCCAATAAACTCTTAGATATTTTACTGTTAGGGGCCTTACCTGAATTAGGGAAGCTGCAGCTGGGATTTGTCTGTTGAAATGTTTCTGACGCTGCTTCTGCTGCACTTTAAGGGCAAAACCAGACCCAAGAATACCCTAAATAGAACCAAAATCACTAGTCAGACTTGGATATGTCTTCATATACCTAAATCAAATACTTTACATGTGAAATAAACAGACAATTTATCAAATACTTTCCAAGAAAAAGAAAAGTTATGAATTTGCAAATGTCCACAGTGACAGAATTCCATTTATTCTAACAAATAAAGCTAAAACTGAGCAGATCAATAGTGGCATCATGTAACATCAATAAACACCAGGTGTTTACTGCTGAGATCTACAGGTTACAGGAGACAGAGACATTCACAGAGACAGACACGTTACAAAGATGACCCTACACAATGGGGGAAGAAGCAAATGACAGTGTTACATGACTGATTCTCAGCTGTTCTTTGCACATATTTTTAATTCCTTGCCACAATGAAGCTAACCCCTAAACCCTTCCCAACCCACCCCTCCCTAAAATAACCCATCTCCACAACTAAAACCAAAACACACTTTGATTTTCCAGCTTTGTAATTTCAACATTTCTGTTAGAACAGATAGTTACTGAAGAAACACTTTGTCTTTTCTAATTGTTTTCATGCTGTTGTCTTTATTCTTGCCCTATTTATTTGAAGATCCAGAAAGCCCAAAGATGCTCTATACACCACGTAGGATGACAGATGCAGTTTCCTAGACCTCTGCTTCATGGCAGTGTTTCTCTTCTCTCAGGATGCCAAATTGTTATCTTATAGTCACAAAAAAAATGAGAAATAAATAAATTTTCACCACTGGCACTGACATGCCCAGAAAAAAACACCTCATTCTCTTTAACTCATAGATTAGTTTTAGCTCTTTGAGTAGTGGAAGTTATTCTTCCCTCCTTTCGAGGCCACCTTTTCCTAAACTGACTGATGTAAAGATGCAGCAGTTTCATTCATAGAATCAGAGAATGTTGAAAAGGACCTTAAAGCTCATCCAGTTCCAACCTGTCCAAACAGGGAGACCTTCCACCAGACTAACTCCAAACCCTGTCCAACCTGAACTTGAGCACTGCCAGGGATGGGGCAGCCACACCTCTGGGCAACTTGTGCCAGTGCCTCACCATCACAATAAAGAATTTCTTCCCCATATGCAATCTAGACCTTCTTTCTTTCAGTTTTGAAGCCATTCCCCTTGTCCTGTCACTCCAGGCCCTTGTAAAAAGTCTCTCTCCATCTCCTTTCAGGTACTAGAAGGCTGCAATTAGGTCATCCTGGAACTTTCTCTTCTTCCAGGCTGAACAATTCCAGTTCTCTCAGCCTTTCCTCATAGGAGAGGGGTTTCATCCCTCAGAGCATCCTGGTGGCCTCCCCTGGACATGTCCTTCTTTTGTGTGAACAGACACAAACACACACCTGAGGATGTGTGTGTGCACACTCTAAAGCAATACCCAACTCTGTTATTTCCTATCAAAGGTACCAATTTAAAACTATCTAATTGTGCACCCAAGTCAGACAGTCACTTTAATAAAGTGATTCAAGTTGTACTTACTGCTGGCAGGGCAAAGAAAGAGATAGCAAATACTGAAAAGCAGGAAGCTATTGTCTTTCCAATCCATGTCTGGGGAACTTTATCACCATAACCAATTGTTGTGACTGTTACCTAGGCCAGAAACAAACAACCATTTCAGTGCAATTCTGTACCTTTTTTCTCCAAAAAGCAGGAAGAAAAAAAAAGAATGAGAGAAATTAGAGAAGTATCAGGAGATAGATAAGAATCAGTAATATTTATATTTGGGTATAAGGAAACCACAGGAATACACTAAACATCACTGGAGATTCATCCCGGGTTTAAATTCTTCAGCAGATTTTCATAACTGACCACTAGTTTGGATGCAACACTAGTCTGTACACAGGATGAATGCTCTCACAGTTTGTAGCTGGCTGCTTCCACCCTTCCAAAACTGAAAGGATTGGCCCTGTGGGCTTGAAACTATAGACTTGCAGTTTTTCTGCTTCTGCTTTTAAAATGTGCTTATGTAGTAGGGACAAGAAAGCCTTGATAACACTGACTTGTGCATAGCCAACACACAGATATCTGCCCAACTCTGCAGTCAGGCAGACAGTAAACTATGCCCTGTACTGACAGGAATGAAAAGGGACAGAACTAATACCATCCCATCTGAATCTTCATAGTAAGAGGAGGAACACACAATCATTCCCAGACATGTTTTCTCTTAAAGTCAGTCTACCAGTAGACCAAGAGCTGAACACAGCTGAGCCCTGTGCTTAGCTTTTTTCCACCCCCAACAAATACAGCACTTGGCCACTCAGTATTGTGTTTAACCCACAAGATGCACACAGCTGGATCAACTTATTGCACAGCACAGGGCAGCAAGCTCCCTAAGGGACAAGGATCCCCGAGGCAAGGCAGAAAATGTAGCCAGCAGGACAGTAACTGTCCACCCAGGCTCAGTCCCCCAGCATCCAAGCAAAACAGAAGCAGAAACTACAGCCAGGTCCAACCAAGAGTCTGGATCATGAGGCAGGGCTGACATCAAGCCAGGAGATCCACCCACAAGTCATGATGAGGTACAATGGTCAGCACACAGGTTCACAAGAATGAGGCAACAACAAAATAACAGCCCATAGGGGGAAATCAGGATTAAGGAACTTCATATCCAGACACAGTTGCAATTAAGCTAGAAACCACCTTTTTTTGACAAATATATCATATCCAGACACAGTTGCAATTAAGCTAGAAACCACCTTTTTTCAACAAATATGCTGAGCTTAAATAGAGCCCCTGGGTGTGGGTAGAGGTCACTGCTGATCAATGTCCTTGGGGTTATAACAGGTATGGAATATGCAGGGACTTACTGCAGGGGGACTAAGTCAATGTGGGGACTCTGTAGGCTAGAGTTTTTTGGGTTGTCCCTGATGAGCCCCAGCAAGATGGAAGGGAATCCATTATGAGCCAGTGGTCAGTGAAGAGATGGTGCTGTGGGGGGATCAGGGTCTAGATGAAGGCTGGTCTGTCAGCCAGGTTTGCAATGTAACAGGGGCCAGCTGCTCCCCAATGGAAGGTGATAATCAGCTGATCCCAAAGAATGCTCCCAAGACAAACCAAGGGAACCCTACAGCTGGCCAGACAGGGCCCTCACCACCCTGGGCCCAAGCTGACAGCAGGATAGACTCCTAGACACTGACTGTGTCCAACAAAGAGTCTAAATCATATGGCAATATCAAGGTGATGAGGTACGTCCAAGGGTGAATATGGAAGTCAGCCCATGGGTTGAGATCCAGTTCACCAGACTATGGCTGAGCCAGGGACCAGCTCTCCTCCAGCACAGCTCAGGCAGCAAAAAAGCATCTAGGGCTGAGCCTAAACAGAGGTCCTGGGTCATGGAGGTGTTGGGGTGACCTCTGATGTGGCTGGCCAGAGCCATTAAGGCTTTTTAGCATACTCAGAGTTCAGATGCTGCCATAAAATGGTGTGAGAAACGTGGCTTGTACCCCCTGAGAAGTGAAAGGCTTCTGGTGAGGAAATGAAGAATTCTGTCACCAATGCTAATCACTGCAGAGGACTTGAAACAAAAAAAATGTGCTTCTATTTGGGAGCACCAGCCCCAAACCTAGTCCCCCTCCCTTCACTTGCCTTGAATGGTAGCAGAAACTCAGCCAAGGAGACTTCAAAGAATATGTAAATTTCCATTGACTACAAAAGAGCTGCCTTTTATGGAAAATGTTGCTGACAAATGCTTAGATATTATGCAAAAATAGTCTTCTCATAAGAAACTATCAAGCAATAAAGGAATGGGAAGAATATATTTCCTCCTCCTCTCAGAGCAGTTCTACAGAGAGCTGGAAGGAAGATTTGCAGGGAAAAAACATGACCAACTATTATCAAACTTAGTTTTTCCAAGTTCAATAAAAGTTAAGCTTGTGTTTATTCATCATTAATTTCTCACTTGGTCGAGTCCACTTTGTAGTAACAATATCCTCAAATGAATATTGTTATTTTGAACTGCAAGCTGCTCTCAGCAGGAGCTCTGTCTTGCCAGGTGTTTGTCCAGATTTAATGTGGCTTATGAAGGGATTCAGGTGCTGTGTGCTAAAAGCAACACAAACAGATGTGTTTGCCAGTGCCCAAAATTAACCCCCCCGAAATTCAACTTTGAAACGCAGTATGTGTTAGTGGGCAGTGGAGGAAGTTAAAGCAGTGTTTCTTTAACAGCACTTCAGCTCCTCAGTGCACCCAGATGACCCCTTAAAGTCTGGGATTTTTCCTTCCTTTTCCTCTCTTTTTTTCTTATGAAAGGCATCTTGGTTTTTTTGTGGGTGGTTTGTTGTTGGGTTTTTTCTGAGTTCCCATGCACTCAGGACTTAAAAACAAACTGCAGTAATGTTGAGCTGCCTTAGTGTTCCTGTGCAAGACAGCATGAAGGCTGTAACCACAGAAAAGATGAATTTTCCATCTCTACAGCAGGCAGATTCCTGCAGGTGCCTGAACAAGTTTCAGAAAGTTTCTCCCTGGTTACCTTAAGAGGGTTCCTTCTCGGTAATCTAATTAGAACTTTGAATATGTGGAAAGGATTATAAAGAACAGTAATTCTTTGGCTTTCCTAAGCACAACAGAATATTCTTCTCCTTGTGTATTCAAAAGTTACTAGTATCTGTGAGCAGAGAATGTTGAAAAGGCTTTGGAAAGTGACACTTCCTTCGTAACACAGATTTATGGTGGCACATTCCAGCTGTTGGAGCACATGCTCTAACACAGGCTCTGGAAAGACATGTACACTTCAAAAAGGGAAGAACTCTCATTTAGTAGAAGTCAGCAGAGCTGTTCTGATGCTTTAAGACCATCAGGTGTCCTGAAGTGGGAAGAATCAGGACTGCACACCTCAAAAAACATACTAAAAATAAAGGGGTTCAAACTGCTACCCCTGGCATGGAAATTTGACTCCTGGAAATTCTGAGCAATTGATCCTAAGTACCTCTGCCATTTAACACCAATTTACAGAAGTAACTATTTAATTCAAATTCAATAGGACAGGATAGTTGAGTTTGCAGCAAGACCAATAAGCATTACCAGCAGCAAGAGATAAGCATGGAAGGGCCAACAGAAGAGAAACCTCCTACATGTCTTTCTTCTTTCCTCAAGAGAAAACACCCAGTAAGGACAGAAAAACTGCTCTGACAGTGGCTGCAATTCTGGCAGACAGACCATAATGTTGGAAGTGCTTTTGCATGTGTTCTACATGCTATAACTTCTGAAAGTGGCTTCATGTAAAATACCACAAGTCTTTGATATGTCTTTGCACTTTAATCTGTTTGCCTGCCAAATCTAGGTGAAACAACCCTGCATTTAACTGAAGCAGGTGAATGTAGTTAGCATTTAATTCCAACTCTCATTCATTCTTTATTTTCTCTTTACTTCATATTTAAACCTTTCAGGTCATTTGTATCAAGTTCAGCAAGCTTGCACTTTCTACTCAAAGCAAAATGTTCCCCATAATACTCTGTGGTTTTTGTCAGACACATAAGACTTTGAAATACTTGCTACCAAGATTTTTTTCCTACGGTTCAGTTTTGAAAGGCATAAATGAAATCAAATTTCACTCCCTAGTAACTCCACATCTGTGTTTTTATGTTACAGAAGATTCAAAAAGAAAAAGAAACTGATTCACTTTGTCCTTTGTCACTGTTCCCAGCTGTGAACTGCACCTGCACCGTGACTCACTAAATGCTGAGGAGGTCTAGATGCCTGAAAAGCTTAAATAACAATTTAAACAGTGTTCTTCATGTGCCTCAGCTAGAGAAAGAGAAAGCTGATTTTATCTTGCTATTACACAAAACAAATTTTGGAAAATAACAACAAAACCCACTGAGCACTTTGCATGGCCTATACATAATGCTTTGAACCACAGACTCCAACTCATCTCTCTCAACAAGGTAAAGCAATTTGCATTTTAAATGTATCTGTTGGTTTTCATCACTGAACTCCTTTAAAATTCCTGAAGTACAAAATACACTCGTAGAAACGCAGCCTGACTTTTTTTGACCTTAATTTTTTTTACTCTTTACTCAAATCAATGTTGTAGATTCTTAGCATGTAAAAATATTTTGTCATACCTATCTAATTATTCAATGCATCTCATAATGCATGTTATGGATAACTAGAGCCAAAAAAGAATACAAATAAAAAAAGGAAAGGTAGAAAAACTACACTGGCTTCATATGGAAGATTTCTTACATGCAGATTAATTACACCTGCATGAATATACATGGAGAGAACTGGATGCTACAAGTGATAGCTGCTTCCCAAACTGACTGCTGGAAATCCTTTTTCATTTTCCACTCTATCTTGCTCCCCTCAGTTTGGTAAGGGATTCTTCTTCCCTCCCTTTCAGCTCTGAATTAGGGCATTTCCAGCATTTTGCCATTCCAGGCCTAGGAATTACTTTAGGAAACACCAAAGACATTGTGCAGAGACAACACAAATCACCACCCTTTAATGATTAGATATTAAAATTAAGACCTTCTTATTAATAAACTATATGCTTTCCCTTTCTTTCACTGGTGTCATTCTAATTCACAAACCTTTTTGGGAATTCACTATGCTGGAAAAATTTAAGAGCTATTTTCCTTCGATTTAGCTGAACTAGTACAAACTTTTATGGGAGTTCCTAATGCTGCTGAGCTTCCCACAAGCAGCTCCACTTTTAATTAGATGGACTGCAGAGGCTATTCAGCTAGACCATTAGCAAATCCAGGAACAGCAGCAGTGGAACACAGAGTTCAGTCATTTGAACACTGGTGTTTGAGCTGAACTGCTCAAATAATAGAAGAATAAATGAGCCTGTGTACTGATTTGTTTTCTTAAAGTAGACATGAGCTATCTTTCCTAACAGCAATTATACCCCAATTGTTTGAGTACAGCACAATCTGTGCATCTGAGACATTTATTATTCTTCTTCCACTAGCTAGAGGTTGTCTCATATCGATAATCATGAGGTTTTATCACATGTCCATTGAGGACTTTAATGAGTCATTTTTGTATGGGTTAGTTCATGGCTTCATTCCTTCACAGCACATTATACAATCAGGTCCCTCTGGCCATTTAGTGAATTTTTGATTTTCACTTAGTTCATACTGTTTTGCAAATGAAATGAATACTTGACAACCTAGTGACAGGAATTTAATGTTGAAAATACTACTATACTGAACCACTTGAAAACAGTACCTCAGGCCACATGTAATAAAGTCTATATTTCTATATATGTCACTGAAGTAGAGGCTTATGCAGCATCTAAGTTAAAGATTTGAAAATATATCCACTAGGAATCTTTTGCCTGCCATGCCAGAAGTACTCACCAGTTTATCTGGATGCAGAGAATTGGTTTATGGCCCAGTAATTGGCATTTTTCAAGTCTATAATTAAGAACAAAACCAGTTTATTGTGTTTCAAATCACACTTGAAACATATCCTTCTTGCTCTGGAACTTGGTAGCTCTGCATCTTTTCCAGTCCTCTCATTTTTCTCTGTCACTAACACTGCTGTGATGGATCTCCTTGGGTTTGTGACAATGAGACAGCCAACTCATAAATTATATGAGGTGCTCTAATGGGGAAAAGGGTCCACAAGAGAAGAGATGGTTCAAGCAACAGCTAATAAGGAAGGAAAGCATAAGTGACAGTGAGAAATGTGATGAGAATAGTCATAGGAAGGGAGTGTTGAAACAATCTGGTCTATTCTGCTCATAGTTCTCTCTTCCTTTTTCAGCTGATTCTGGGCATGCACATAACAAGTACCACAACACTCTCAAAAGCCCAGTTCCTCCTTTTTCCTTTATTTCACCAAAGATATGCACTGACCCTGACTGATAATTGATATCCAAAGGATTTGATGAATCCATGAAGCCTTGCCAGCTGCTTTTGATGGATCTATTTACCTTTACAGAGAATCACAGACTTCTTTAAAAGAGAAAAAAAACCAAACCAGGAACCTGTAACCTGCATCAAGGTCTGCATTATTACTGAGAGTGAGTTTTACACAAAATGATTTAAGAAACAAAGTCATTAACCCAATTTTCACATATAGGATGTACTTTTAAAGTTAGGCACCTTTTGCAGATAATTAAGTAGAGCTTAAAAGAAGTTGTGGAGATTCTGGAGGGAATTTGTATTCTTTCTGAGATATGCACATTTTATACATGTAAATGTTCAGTGTCCTTTACTAAAGACTCACTAATCTGCTTTCAAAATAAAATTTAATACACAATTTAATTGTATTTATTATATTTTTCTTCTGTCCTTCTTAAAAGGTTGTCAAGGACTTACCACACCCCACCAAAGGGCATCAGCATAGTTGGAGAAACCTGTCTTTCCATCCTCATCAACTGCATCCTTCTCAGCGAGATAGACAAAATAGGATGAAAAAATTAGTCCCAAGAATCCAATGTACAGTGTGGTTATGAGTTCCTATTAAAAGAGAGAGCAAACAAGCACATAAGGCTTGCATCATATATATTCTGTCATTGTCAAACATTGTAAATAACTGGGGTTTTTCTTTGGATCACAATAGAAAAATTCCTAGGCTATACTTCAGTGATGAAATTTGCCTCCAGTTGAAAAGGTAGTACAGTGACTTGTTTTCTATTCCTAGAAAAGAAATTCAGACAGAAAAGAATTCAAAAAGCTATTATTTATACAAGACCATTTAGACAGTTAAATGTAGCATGGGACATCCTGGTTTATGTCTTGGGAATGGGAATCATTCCACTTGACTGTCCACTCAAAATGTGAAACACCTAAATATTTTTAAATAGTAAAACAGCTTTAGAAATTCACTTTCTGAACAGTACACAAAAATAGCAGTTAAGAAATAGCAGCCATGTCTTGTGACTATAGCTATATCAAAGCAATGGACTTGTGTATCTGATGTTTAGATTGCTCAATCATGGAATCACAAAGTCATCAAGGTTGGAGGAGACCTCTAAGATCACCAAGTCCAATGATTAACCTGTCACTGCTGGAACCCCTAAACCCTAAACCATTTCCTCCAGCATCAGATCCAGATAACTCTAAAACACTTCCAGGGATGGTGACTCCACCACCTCCCTGGGCAATGTATTCCAGTGCCTGAGCACCCTAACAGGGAAAAAACTTTCTAGCATCTAATCTGACTCTGCCCTGTCTCAGCTCAAGGCCATTCCCTCTAATTCTCTCCCTGCAGCTATGGCAGGACAGACATTCCCACCTCCCTCCATCCCCTGTCAGGGAGTTGGAGAGATCCATGAGGTCACCCTGAGCCTCTTCTCAAGGCTTAGCAAACTGAATTCCCTCAGCCCTTCTTCATCTGTCATGCATTCTAGACCTTCTCTCTGAGCCTTGTTGCCCTTGGCTGGACTCACTCCAGTGCCTCAATGTCCTTTTTGCTGTGAGGGGCCCAAAACTGAGCACAGTACTTGAGGTGTGACCTCTGCAGTGCCCAGTCCAGGGGAGTGAACACTTTCCTAGTCCTGCTGTCACACTATTCTTGATCCAGGCCAAGATGTCCTTGGCCTTCTTGGCCACCTGTGCACACTGTTGGCTCACACTGAGCTGTGCCACCAGCACTGCCAAGTCCCTTTCTGCCCAACAACTCTTGAGCCACCTCCCTGAGCCTTCAGGGCTGCATGGGGTTGTTCTCTTCCAAGTGCAGGACCAGCACTGAGCCTTACTGAACCTCATGCACACTGAATATTGATGCCTTAACACTTTCAGATTAAGATAAAATAAAATCTTAAGATGAAATATGTTTGATAGGTGAAACCTCTACTTCAATCCTGAAAAAGCAAGTCTAGGGCAGTTTATTAGGGATTTTTGTTAGGGTATGATTCAGTCCTTGTGATTGTACCAGTTTCTCTACAGATTTTTGGACAGGAAAATTGTATCAGAACTGATGTGACTTAGGTGCAGGATTGTGACAGTCTTCAGGAAAAAATGTGCTGAAGTATTTAAGCAGCCTGAATGTGTGGTGTCACAGTTGCAAAAACATGTAAAGCTTTTAAAAGCAGGGCTACATTATAATCAAATGAGAAATTCACCAGCCCCTCAGGAAGATCCAATACCTAGTTATATGGGAAAATAACTTATTTTAATTACTTCAAGTTTACATGATTTATTTCTTTATTTTCTTTGCACAGACTTAGTCATCTTTATTATGAAATATTGTGCTACATCTTCATTAGCAACTTCCTTAAGCTCTTGACAGAGCCATTTCTCTTCTCTTGGATCCAAACCAATAAGGGAATTAAAACATTGCCATAAGACAAATTTAAAATGCAGACCTGTCTAAGAAGAATTGTCTCTACTTCTACATTATGGCAGGTTTTCACAGACTTTCTGTAATGTTCAACCCATGTTTCTTTAACTATTTGTGAGGTTTTATTCAGCTTTTATCATCAAACTTCCTTCAGATTTTCTTTTTCATTGCTTTATTTTCATTTCCTTGTAAGAGCTTTCTGGAAAAAGGTATCCCAGGTATCTAGTAACAACATTCAGCAGCAGGAAATACACATATGGTTCTTTCTCCTAAGCACTATTAAAAGTCTAGGGTCAGCCAGTCTTTAAGTAATCTTGGCACAAAGCAAAATAGGTGTCTTCCCTCTATTTAATTATGACCTAAATAATTAATTTTGATAGCATTTAGTTTTGCTCAGGGGCAAATTCAAGCCTTAACTCTTTGCAAACTAAACAAGGCAGGTGAAAGAAGGAATAAAACTTGGGGTTTCAGTAGTTCAGATTTCTATGCTGGTCAACCTTAAGTAATGACAATGGTACACTGTGTACTTGTAGATATGACTCCATTGCTTTGAAAGCTCCTTGTGTTAACATACATAATTGACTATTTGCATTTCTGTACATTTTCACAATGCTTTAGTTTGCCTACACTGTGTTTTCTCAATGCAAGAGAAAACTGGTTAACACACGAGATTAAGCTCTGTGACACAAAAACCTGCAACAGAAATGGAGACTCAATGCAAGAGAAAACTGGTTAACACATGAGACTAACTTCTGTGACACAAAAACCTGCAACAGGAATGGAGATGAATTCTTGCTGTCTGCTTACAAAGAAAACACTTTGCTCTTGTCTCTAGGTTTGTGACTTCCTTCCACATCAACAGAAATCTCTTAGTTACACCTGGCATGTTGCTTACATCTCAGATGTGAATAGATTTTACATCTCACTGAGGAATGGCCATCACTGCTTTGTCTTAGTTTTGTCTCAGAGGACAGAATCAGAGGCTGGATGACAACTGGAATACTTCTGTGTTAAGTGCTGGCTTTTTGGGAAGCAGGCAAGAAATATGCTTTTCAGAAGTGTTATGTCTTGTCTTATGAAATCCTTTCAAAGTGGCTGAAACAGCAACAGAACTACTCATCTTGTTTCACCACTGGCTCCTCTCAGCTCCAGTGCTATTCATCTCAGGACTGAATTCTTTTCAGGTGAAGGCCAGATGAAAATGTAATTGCCTAAGATTTGTTTTAAATGTCACCAGTCCATGTTACATATGTATAGAGAGACAAAATACTTCGTGCCTATATTTAATTATTAAGAACAAGGGGAGCAATCTCATACATACTGCATTTAAGAGAGAGTGCAGAAGATCTGAAAATAACACATGCTTGAAGAAACACAGACAGACAACAAAGCAAAGAACATTCTGCAGACATGAGGCCTTAAAACTTCACATTTATATGTTTTTTTTATGGATAAGAACTTAAGAAAAAAGAATGCTGCCTAATACAAACAGCTCTTTTCAGCAAGGTCTTTCGGATACACAGAGGAAACAGCAAGAACTAGAACCAGTATGCACAAAGGTAAATTGGAATATTGAGACAGTTGAGCCATCACATTATTTTAGACTTGGGATCTATATTTTCATTTCCAATAAGGACCACGCAATATAAAATTCAACACATAGGAAAAATACAAGAAAAAAACCAAATCTGCAACTCATTGGTAACTCCTTCCTCAGAGCAGTACAAGACCTTACAAAGCAAAATGAGGAATCATAGAATTTAAGGGTTGGAATGCACCTTACAGATCATCTAGTCCTAACCCCCTGCCCTGGGCAGGGACATCTCCCCACTAGATCAGGTTGCACATGGCTCATTCAGCCTGGCTGTGAACACTGCCAAGGTCAGGGCAGCCACAGCCTCTCTGGGCAATCTATTCCCACCTGGAATACTGCACACAGTTCTGGTGCCCTTAACACAAGAAGGACATGGAACTGTTGGAGCAAGTGCAGAGGAAGCAATGAAGTCAATAAGAGGACTGGAGCATCTCCCCTATGAGCACAGGCTGAGGGAGTTGGGGCTGTTCAGCCTGGAAAAGAGAAGGTTGTGTGGAGACCTCACAGACAACTTTTCAATATCTGAAGGGTCTACAAGGAGCCAGAGAGGGACTCTGTGTTAGGAGCTGCAATGATAGGACAAGGGGTAATGGGTTCAAATTGAAGGAGGGGAAGTTTAGGTTAGATATTAGAAAAGAGTTTTCTACTATGAGAGGCTTACAAGCTGGAGCTAGATTGGCTAACTCAATTTTTCAGTAAGCTGCATGATTTCTCCATGTCTTTCCACCACCACATGTGACATTGACTCATGTTTTGTTGCTTTTGGCGAGAAATGCTTGTATAAGCTCAACCTGCTGAAAATAGAAGAGCATCTGAGCCAAACTGAGCCTGAGTGAGCTAATACAGCTATATGTAAAATTCCAAAACACCTGGAAATCATCGGTGACAACTTTAGTAAGCTCTTTTGGGCCCACAGAGCTCCAAGTGCTTGTTATTTTCACAGGTCACAAAGATGTGGATTAATTTTCTCACATTGTTTAAGGGGTTAGGGCTCCATTTTTTCTGAAAGAGTATCACACTCAAAAAAATAGATGAGGACTCTGTACTCTCTCCGTGAAGAAAAAGTAGCTGAGGTGTTTTTATTTTGGTTTTGGTGGGTGTTTTCAAACAAAAATTTCTTTCAGAGACTGGATAGGAATAAAGGTTCCATTTTCCCTTCCATTTGGTACCTTGTTAGGGTTTCAGCTACACTTGTCCAACGTCAATACAGAACTGTGTGTTTGATATTTTTTTATGAATGTGTTAGTGGGTGATCTGCTTGGACAGGTACTGCAGATCTGTAGAGTTTTATTTATCATCATAATCACTTCTTTGGATTAGCAGAACTTCAGGTGTGTTTACTCATAAATTCACTTCTCCAAGGATTACTTTTTTCCTTTTAAATCATTGAACTTATTTATACTTGCAACATTTAAGACTTAAGTGTTGTATTTTGGAGATAGTATTTCCTGATTCTTGACTAAAACTCTGAACACCCACAGGAAAAACTTTTCTCAAACACCTCTGTCAGTGAGGGGAGCAAATGTTGAGAAAGTGTATTTGGATATCAGCTCTGCCCTAGCTAGATATCCAGGCAATGTGAGCATAATAAATGAAGACCACACAGACTTGGAGCATTAAAAGTCATCCTGTTGTACAGTATGAAAGGAGGCTTTATACTAGAGCACTTCAGTGTGCATCACTGCAGCACAGCCAACGTGACATAAAATTTCCTGTGGTACTGGGGGGGAAAAAAAAAAGGTAAGGAAATTAACTTTTAGTGTTAAATTAATTGCTTTTGAATGAAGTACCTCCCATTCTCTGTTCCAGAACCACAGTTTTCTACATAGAAGATAAAAAAAGTCCTTGTGGAAATCTGTAAGTAATTGTCAATACCTGGAGAACACATCTATACTCATAGAATAGGTTAAAGAACCACTCTTACAAGTCTGATGTGAAGATTCATAGCACTGTATTATCCATCCACAGTGTGGTATGATATAAGATTTAAAGGCTAATTATATAAGTTTCTACTATGTTGATTAAGAGATTCCATAAAGAGATTCCATGAAGGCTCAAAAAGAAACCTTCAACTAGAAATTTTTTTAAGTCTGCTGAAAAACTTTAAAGCTTTTCCAGCTTAATAAACTTTAATATAGAACAATCATTTCAAAGCTTTAATAAACATTGTAGTGGGCTGACCCTGGCTGGGTGCCTGGCACCCACCAAAGCTGTTCTATCACTCCTCTCTGCAAAATGGGCAGGGGAGATAAAATACAATGAAAGGTTCATGGGTTGAGATAAGGACCAGGAGAGATCACTCACTCAATACTCTCATAGGTTAAACAGACTGAGCTTGGGGAAATGAGGTGATTTATTACTAACAAAATCAGAGCAGGATAATGAGAAAATAAGACAGACCTTAAAAACACATTCTCCCACCCATCCCTCCTTCCCAGCTCTACCTCCTCCCCCACAGCGGTGCAGGGAGAAAGGATTGGGGGCTGTGGTCACTTCATCACACATGGTTTCTGTCAGTGCACTCAGAAGTACTTCCCCTGCTCCAGTGAGGGTCTCTCCCATGGGATCAGTCCTTCCCCTGCTCCAGTGTGGGGTCTCTCCCATGGGATCAGTCCATCCCCTGCTCCAGTGTGGGGGTCTCTCCCACAGGAGACAGCTCCCCATGAGCATCTCCAAATGTGAGTCCTTCCCATGGCCTGCAGGTCTCCATGACCTGCTGCAGTGGGTCACTCTGCACAGGGTACAGTCCAGCCCCCCAGGGACAGCTCCAGTGTGGGTCCACCACAGGATCACAAGTCCTAGCAGGAACTCTGCTCCAGTGTGGGTCTCCTCTCTCCACGGGTCTGCAGGTCTCTGTCAAGACCCTGCTCCAAGCAGGGGCTCCCCACAGGTTCACAGCCTCCTTTGGGAACCCACCTGCTCTGCCATGGGTAGCTCTCTGCACCCTGTTAATCTCCATGGGCTGCAAGGACACAGCTACCTCACCATGGTCTTCACCACAGGCCACAGGGGATCCTCAGCTCTGGTGCTTCTCCACTGACCTTGGTGTCTGCAGAGCTGTTCCTCTCACATATTCTCACTTCTCTCTTCTCTGGCCACAATCACTTCTGTGCAATAACTTTTTTCCTTCTTAAATCTGTTATCCCAGAGGTGTTATTGCCATTACTGATTGGCTTGGCCTTTGCCTCAGTGCTGGGTCTGTCCTGGAGTCCCTGGCATTGGCTCTGCTGGACATGGGGAAGCTTCTAGCAGCTTCTCACATAAGCTACCCCTGTAGCCCCTCCACTGCCAAAACCTGGCTAGGTAAACCCACTACAGACATATAATTATTTATAGCCAAGTTTGTCTCCATGACTACACCCCTGAAAAAGTAACTTTTCTTGCATATTATCATAACATAGTTCACATTTTTATTAAAACTCCTTATTCAGGCACAAAAAAGATAGCATGATTTAAATAACTGACTTGTTCTCCAAGGCTTTATCACTAGTATTTGTTTTTTCACAGAACAACCAAGCTAGGAACACATCTTCTATGAGACAGTGGACAGTATTTGCAATAGGAAAAGCAGCACAGATAACTGCATTTAATAAATTCTATTGAAGGATAACATCAAAGAGTACATCAGTTAATAATTTTTTAAAAAATAAGAAATACTGATGCTTATACCCTGTTAGCCACTGACCTGAATAGTAAAGAATAGTTTCCTATTTTAAAAGTGGAAAGAAACACATGATGGTCTTTTAAAGTAATTTTTCTCTTGTAACATAATAGTTCATTTAAATCTTAATAAATTCTATTGAAGGATAACATCAAAGAGTACATCAGTTAATAATTTTTTAAAAAATAAGAAATACTGATGCTTATACCCTGTTAGCCACTGACCTGAATAGTAAAGAATAGTTTCCTATTTTAAAAGTGGAAAGAAACACATGATGGTCTTTTAAAGTAATTTTTCTCTTGTAACATAATAGTTCATTTAAATCAGAATCATAGAAACATCAAGGCTGGAGGAGACCTCTAAGATCACCAAGTCCAACCATTAACCTGTCACTGCTGGAACCTCTAAACCATATCTTCCAGTGCCACATCCAGACGCCCCTTAAACACTTCTAAGGATGGTGACTCCACCACCTCCCTGGGCAGCACATTCCAGACTGTGATTTGAAGTCCAAAAAAGGAATTTACTAAAGGAGACAAAATGCTGGGGACTTTAAAGATGGAGTACCTGTCGATGTATGAAAACAACTGATCCTAACAGTCGCCAGGTGCCACCCTGTCGATCCACGTGGAGCATGCGAAGTATCTGGAGAAATCGGATCCCCCTGTAAGAAAAAAAGGGTATAAATAAAACTAAAGTTTGAAAACAATACTGCTCTATCTATCCACAGATGACTATGTCCTCTAACATCCTGCCAGATTAAAGAACTGTGATAGCATTGCCCCTGGGGTTGCAGCTCAGACTCGAGGCATCTCAGTAGACTCTCCGTTTAGATGGCATTTCATTACATTAGAGTATATTCAGAAACATTGACTAGGAAAACAATTATTTAACAGCAAAACAAACAAACTCAGGGGAAACTTGCATCTTTTATATGATCCTGATTCTTAAATGCCTTCTCTCCCAGGAGTCATAGAATCATAGAATGTTAAGGGGGTGGAATGGATGATAAAGATTATCCAGCCCCAACTCCTGCCCTGGGCAGGGACACCTCCCACCAGAGCAGGTTGCTCAAGACTTTATCCATCCTGGCTTTGAACACTGCCAGGGTTGGGGCAGCCACAGCCTCCCTGGGCAACCTGTGCCAGTGTGTTATCACAAAAACCAGAGCTCCAAGCTTTGCTAACATAAGCATGAGTAAACTTCTTTCTCTATTTGTCAAAAGTAGAATCTGAATCAAACATGGTATTACTGAAATCCTTGTTGTGTGAGTTATAGAAATGATCTCACTGGAAATAGATACAGTCCTATGTGGTTTTAAGACAATACCTGCATCATAAACTTCAAATATTTTCAACTAAAGAAAAATAATTATCCATAAGATTCTTCAGCATAATTTCCTTCCATGAATATATTTCATTTAGTCACCCTTTTGACAATGACCTTTATTTGCCTATAGTCATCTTACTACGTCATCTGTGAAACAAACTAGTGAAGAGCAGTAAAGGATGAATGCTGAATTCCTCTACCTGATAAATTTTCACTAAAAGTATTTTTGGCTCTTTTTAGCTGCCCTTAAAATTTTGTGGTGGATGTAAATTTTGCTTTTTAATTCAGATTTCTTATTTCCGTTCCACTGTAGCTGCACTTTTCTGGGTAGCATCTAAAAGTCAGAAACTCAGCATGGTGCCATCCTGCAGTCACCAGTGTTACTCACACTGGGAAGGCACACTGTCCTCTGAAATAGCCAATTTTTCCTTTATTCAGAAGGCAGGCATCCTGTACTTTCACAGCTGACAGGCCAATGATCAAAGGTTTGTCTCTTTTTTTGGAAAACACACAGTAATCCTGACTATTAAGTCATATATTGGTGACCGAGTACATGCAAACCATATTTTATTATTTATTTGATATGTCATTGGAATAACAATTTTAATTAGCCTGTAGCACACAAGGAGTGTGGGCAGCAGCTCAAGGGAAGTGCTTCTCCCCCCAACCCTGCTCTTGTGAGACCCACCTGGAATACTGCACACAGTTCTGGTGCCCTTAACACAAGAAGGACATGGAACTGTTGGAGCAAGTCCAGAGGAGGCCACGAAGTTGCTAAGAGGACTGGAGCATCTCCCCTATGAGCACAGGCTGAGGGAGTTGGGGCTGTTCAGCCTGGAGAAGAGAAGGCTGTGTGGAGACCTCACAGCCAACTTTTCAATATCTGAAGGGTCTACAGAGAAGCTGGAGAGGGACTCTTTATTAGGAACTGCAGTGATAGGACAAGGGGTAATGGGTTCAAATTGAAGGAGGGGAAATTTAGGCTAAATATTAGGAAGAAGTATTTTCCTGTGAGGGTGGTGAGACACTGGCACAGGTTGCCCAGGGAGGCTATGGCTGCCCCAACCCTGGCAATGTTCACAGCCAGGTCTGGTGTTCACACCTGCTCTGGTGAGAGCTGTCCCTGCCCAGGGCAGGGGTTGGGACTAGATGATCTGTAAGGTCCATTCCAACCCCTAAAATTCTATGATTCTACCACTGTGTAGCTTAACACTGGGAAAGACTGTGCTGAGCCAACTGGGTTCATCCACATCTAAACACACAGCAGGCCTTTTCATTAAAGTTCTTCCTACACTTCTAGTTAAATTCAACAAAATATTTGGAATTTGCACATTCACCCTCCTTTTCTTCTTTATGAGCTAATAAAGCCCATTCATGCTGCCTGTGTCTTTATCATCATGGAAGGATTAATGTTCTATGGTAAAAGTTACCCTAAAAATACTTTATATGTGTAGTTTCATCCCGTGCTTGAGTGCACAGCTCGACAGTTTAGGCAGTACTGTACATTCTCACTTCCAGGTGATTGGATTGCATTGGAAAGCAGAGGATTGTAACAGAACATGCAGCACGTCTTGCAAGTTGAGTTAGGAGGAGTGGGAAGTACACCTACTCTGCTTATCATTCTTTTCTTCTCTTAAGCCACTTTTCCTCCCAAAACAAGCTTGCAGTACTTGATGCAAGCTGAACAAACACTGTAGACATCAAATGTTTCTGGTTCACCTACGATACGAGTTCCTTGTGCCAAACAAATCCACTGAAGCATAATTACTCTTTAAACAAAGTAATTACTCATACTTAAAAAGTACCAAGTGCTGTCTGGATTACTTCTTAAACAAACTGATGTTCTGTAATACTTTTGTCTCAGAAGGTTTGATGTTTTATATAGGACATAACCTTTAGGTTTTTTCCACTTGGCTATACCATTCCCACCATTTTTCATACACCTTGTTTCCCAATGGGTGACCAAGCACAACAACACACAGACCTCCATTGCCCAGTGTTCAATATAATAACTTTTCCTATCTTAGGAAAATTAGACATACATCTACTTTGGAAATTAGCAAATGAGATATAAATCTAATAACATCTGTGGTAGTGAAGAGCTACAGTCACCAGCAAAACATACCTTATTGCAGAGGTGGCAAACACTTGTCCATTAGATCCTATGCTCAGAACAATAATTGAGGCTACCACCACAATCAGATCTGTTTAAAAGAAAATAAAATGGAGAAAGAAAGAATATAGTGATTTTTAGATGTCAGCACTGAAGCACACAAGAAATACAGACTGAGGAAAGCACTTGTAAAAAAAAATAAAGCTTACATTTGGTTTTAATGTAATAGTTAATGCAACAGTAAATTAATGTAATAGTTTTATGTCAAGAACCCAATGACTACAGTTTCTTCCATGATGAATTTAATAATGGAACTTTCAGAGAAGATGATGGATCAGGCAGCTTGCCAGAAAAGCAACGAATGCAAAGGCATATGCACATCCTAGAAATGAATCTACACTTCAGCTCAAGGCTTTTGATTTAAGAGGAAAAGGAAGGGGTTTCTTCACTCGATAATGAAATACATAAAGTCAAGTATCATGGTCCATATACACATACACTTGGTTTAAAAATTGTACCAAAGCTGTAAACCCAAGTTTAGGGACCTGTCAGAACAAAGTTTGGCTAAAAAAACCCAACAGAGTTGTTGATTTACTTTGTGGTACAGTCTTTATTTGCATGAAAAAAATAATTGTTTCCAGAGTTCCTTTTCTTTTAAAAAATTTCCACAATTCCACAGTTTACACAGTTCCAGCATTACACAATGCAAATGATGGATTATGTCCACAATGCCAGCATCCCTTATTTTCTCTCATCCTAGTTCAGTCACCATGTCTGTTTCTTTTAATTACTGAACCTTAATCTAAAATTATTCTGAGAAGACATTTTTCTAATTTCCTCCCTGGCATTTCTGTGGTAAACCTCTTTAGAGTATCTAAATGCTTCACTTTCAAATTCTAACCAGAAAATAAAGGACAGTATTATATGTGAGGAAAAGTTTTGGTAATTTTTCCTTGCCAGTTTTAAACAGGCAGCACTTTATCCTTCAGAGCACTTGATGTTATGTAGCACTTCAAAAAAAAACAGTGCCTGCTGACTTCACTTGCAGCTGTGAGAGCTCAGAACCTCTGTAGCCTGACTTCAAAGTCTTCATTTGGCCATCCAGAAAAGGAGGCACACTTGTGAAAACTGATTTAACTGACTGCCACAGAGTTTCTGTGTGATGCCTCAGTGAGATGAAGGACAGAATCCAACTCGAGAGGCAATAACAGTTTCCTTCAACAAGGCCAACTTGTTTTTTCCTGTCCTTTTTAAATATTCTCCTGCCTCATTCACAACCAAGTAGTTGCTGCAACAAATATTGCAGAAGTGCTACAACCAACAGTATCCTTTACTCTCCAACTAGGATTAATTTCCAGGATCTGTCTGATTTTTGCTGTAAAATCTGGATACCACCCCAAGGGATAGCACTCAGCCAGTTTAAAGACTGCACTACAATAATTGTACATTTATGAAGATGAAAATTCATAAAGGGAGTGATAAGGCAACAGGAAGAGCTTCCATTTGGGGATAATCTTCACTTTTGAATGCTTGACCTTCCGAATGTTTTATGTTATTCCTGAATTGATGTCTGTGTGTGAATATACATTTGTAAACATCAGAATTTAGGTTAGGCTTTCTTCACATCATGCAGATCTTTGCCCTTAAGCAAATGATGCACTCATGTCCTTCCTGAATTATCAGGCATATACATATCCATCCAAAGACTGACACTTAGGAAATGAGATTCAATCAGGTTGTGAGAGTAAAATAGATTTTTCATTTGTACTTTCTACTTTTCTGTAAGTATGTTCTACATGGTAGAGATATATCTTCCTCATCCCCAACTCCCCAGTCCCTCAACCTGTTCTAGCTCTGCTTCTTCTCTGTTCCTAGTGCTCATCCTAGTTTTCAGGCTTTAGGCTTCTCTCACTAATCCCAGTTTACTGATCCAAACAGTCCTATTTTACAGTCCAGGTCTCCACCAGACTCAAATTGAAGCAGACATTGGCATGGAAAACAACAGGAGAAAGAGTCAGCATTTATTTAAATAACTGTTTCAACTAACAAGCATTGGTATTTAGAATAGCATTACACTAGCATTTCTGGTAGGTTTTAAAAACTAAAATGTCAGGAAGTTTGGTAATTTAAAAAATTGAATTCCAGTAATTTATAAACAGCAATATGTTATATTCTTCTTGAAGTTTCTAGCTATTTACCTGTTTGCAAACATGTCTGTACATACACATGAGGTATAGAGAGGAAAGGTGTGTTCTTAGTAGTCTGGAGATAATACCACATCCATAAGAACTTAAATTACACAGAAATTACATAGAAAAATTCTCCCTGCTCTCATAGAAATTTCAGTGGAATTTGGATTTTAAAATAAAGAGCTTTGTATACATGCAAAAGTAAAATTAATACTTTATTTTTTTCCATTCTGTTCTAATCCTTTAATTCTCTTTTCTACTGTTTGCATTTTATTTATGTTGATTTGAAAATTACAGGATGAGTCAGTACGATTCAATTATTCACAGAAAAGGTATTTCCAAAGATTAGCTATTTCTATCAGTGTAGACACTGTTTCTTCTGCATTTGATATGTGGAAGCAAATCTTAACCTTAAATGTGTTGTATTCTTAGGGGAATATCAAAGGTTTTTAAAAAAAAATACTGACACCCCTTGAATGCTCAGCCAGCTGTAGTCATTCTTAGCTTTTCCTAAAAAAACCCACTGTAACTCCTCCAAGAGTTACACAAACATGAATATTTCCTGAGGTAGATGCACAATACCAGGACACAGAACCACTTGGAATCACAGTTTAATGAGATTGCCATGTTTTCTCCTGCATCCATGAACTCTAATATACCCATCTAAAAAGCAATTCTTAATTGAAAGAGAAGCCAAGAACATGCTTAGGAGTAAAAATCTTACCTACAGCCCTCATGGTTAGATCAAAAAACTAGATCAGCTCCAGAAGCAGCTGAGGATTTTGTTTGTATGTAATGAAACACTTGTTCCTCAATAACCCAAAACTGAGTACAGTAGCTCATCACATTAGTCACTAGACACATAACAGAATATGTTGTTTCCTGAGGTTGTGCACTAAGTTTCATAGTGTCACAGATGGTTAAGGAAAAAACAACTCATTCTCTCCTCTTTTCACCTCTCTCACTCTGCTCTATTTAAAACTCAGGAAGTTGATCTTTGAATAATGTAAAATTCACATCTCTATATATCGGACTCTATAAAATCACAGACACTCTGATTTTATGTTCTATTAGAATTTTGTCCAAACATCACCATTTATTAATCCCTCACTGTTCCACTGTTTCTATTAGTCACCTCTCCTCCTGAAATCAATCCTGCTCCAGAGATGCTACCCACAATAGTCCCTCAAACCACCTAAAACTCTTTTAACTTTAGCACTACCCAAGGAAATTTTTCCTGAGTTCTACTTCTCACAATTCCATGTTTTTCTCAATTTACACTCACCTTTGTGCTTGCTTTCTATGGAAGACCTAAGGAAGGATTTTGTGTTTAAAATCTTCTCAGTTTTCTCCAATAACACAAGTAGATTTGGTCATTTCTTCTCTACAATTCTGCCTTCCTAAGGCTGATTTCTGCCTGTGTCTCACAGCTATATTTTAAATTTGCATTTCTAGCAATCCAAAAGAAGAAATAATTGCACAGACTTACAAAGCAGACAAATGCTTGAGTGAGAGTCATAGCTAGAACTGGAGTAAGGTCTCTGTGGTAGTCGACATCTTTACTTTAAAATGAAGGGAAACAAACAAAACAAAAAAAAAAAAAGAGTTTAAATCTTACCAATTATTGATATTGGCTTTCTGGCAAACCGGATTCTTCCCTGGAAGCCAACATACTTACTCCTGCAGCCTGCAGACCACAACCGGACCACGTACTCAGCACCAAAAAACACAACCAGAACTATTTCCTATCAGAATTAAAAGGAGAAGATATCAGGTTTTTTTCATTAAAAGTCAGGCTACAGTTTGCATTATCTAATTTATTCCTATGCTGAATACGAAGAGGTTTGTTGAGATGAATGATGCAGCAATAAGGATTGTGCTTAATCTGTTCATTTTTTATGTGCCTGTGCCAGGCAGTACATAAAAGGGAGATATAATATTAATCCTGAATGTAAAAAGGATGGTTTGAGCTCCATTCCATCAGTGAGGAAAAAACACAATATAATTCTTCTTTTTATTCTTTCCAAAACATATTTTTTTAAAAAATAAGGAGCAGAGGAAGGCTACAAACATATCCTACCTAAAACTAGCAAGTATATGAAACATTTCTAGATCATGAAACAGGATTTATGAACATAAAATGAGAAAGTGTAATGTCAACTGTCATATATTCAGAATAGCATGTGTCAAAATAGCATATGTCAAGTTGGACAGGACCCATACAGATGATCAAGTCTGACTCCATGCTCCTTGCAGGATTACCTAAAACTAAACCAGATGACTAGAAGTGTCATCCAGATGTGCCTTGAACACTCTCACTCATGGTGCTCTTTGGGGAACACATTCCAGTGACCAACCAGCCTCTCACTGAAGAACCACTTCCTAATGTCCAATCTGAATTTCCCCTGATGCATCTTCAGTCCCTTTCCTCATGTCCTGTCACTGGTCACCAGAGAGAGGGTATCAGTGGCTTCCCCTCTGCTGCAGACTACACTGAGGTCACCCCTCAGCCTTCTCTTCTCCAAGCTGAACAAACCAAGTCACCTCAGCCACTTCCTCTTAAGTCTTGTCCTCGAGATCTTTCACCATCTTGGTTGTCCTTCTCTGGATGTCCTTCTTATATTGAGGCACCCAAAACTGCACACAGTACTCAAAGTGGAGTTGCATCACAGCAGTGCAGGGTGGGACAATCACCTCCCTCGATCAGCTTGCTATGCTGTGCACCCCAGGAAACAGCTGATCCTTTTGGCTGCTGACTCATACTCAACTTGACATCAACTGAAACCCTCAGATCTCTTTCTGCAGGGCTGCTCTCCACCCTCCTGGCCCCCAGTTTGTATGTAAAACCAGAATGGCTTTGTCCCAGCTGGGGAATAAAGCTCTTGTTCTTGTAAAATCTCATAGATTTGGTGATTGCCCAGCTCTCTAGTCTATCCAGATCCTCTGTAAGGCCACTGTACCCTCAAGGGAGTCCACAGCCCTTCCTAATTTAGTATTCTTTAGTATTGTTATTCGGTAATGTGCATTTGATTCCTGAGTCAAAAAAAACAAAATCTTGCTCGTGACACCATGCTCAAAGCCTGATCTGCTGGGCCTTTCTGTTTCCTCCCTCATCATACCCTGCAACTGAAAGGAGTTTACTTGTGCACCTGATCCCTTAACTACTCATTCTAAGGTCGTAAACAGTCTTGATTGCCCTTGGACTTCTTGGAGCAACTTCATCATTGTTTACCTGAACTATCAGTAATGGTAAATAATTTGAGGGCTGCACCAGGGTGGGAAGCTTTCTCTTCACATCTTTACCCCTGGCCCCAGGGAGGCAGCAGACATCCCTAAGAAGTGGGTGCAGTCTTGTCGTGGTTTAACCCCATCAGCAGCCAAGAACCACAATGCAGCCTCTCACTCACTCCCCCACCAACGGGATGGGGGAGCGAATTAGAAGGGTAAAAGCTACAAAAACTCATGGGTTGAGATAAAGACAGTTTAATAGAGGAAGCAAAAGCTGCACACACAAGCAAAGCAAAACAAGGAATTAATTCACTGCTTCCCAAAGACAGGAGGTGTTTAGCATCTCCAGGAGAGCAGGGACCATCACGTGTAACGGTTCCTTGGAAAGACAAACACCATCACTCCAGATGTTCCCCTTCCTCCTTCTTCCTCCCACCTTATATACTGAGCATGATGTCCTATGGTATGGAATATCCCTTTGGTCAGTTTGGGTCACCTGTCCCAGCTGTGTCTCCTCCCAGTCTCCCATGCACCCCCAGCTCCCTTGCCAGTGTGGCAGTATGGAAAGCAGCAAAGGCCTTGGCTCTGTGTGAGCTCTGCTCAGCAATAACAAAAACATCTCTGCATTATCAACCCTGTGTTCAGCACAAAGCCCAAACATAGCCCCATCCTAGCCTCTGTGAAGAGAGTTAACTCTACTTCAGCTCAAACCAGCACAAGTCTGCATATTGGGCACACCCTGAGAGGTAACATATTGCCCCTGGAGCTCTGACTGGGAAGCTGCACCAGTCATGGTGGGTACAGAGCTCAGACAGGACACAACCTTATGCCATTTGGTTACCATTGCTTTCTGGTTGTGCCAGCAGAGCTACAGCACCTCTGCTGCATGCAAACTGCCATGCCATGCCCTGTTTGCCCAGCAAACCCCTAGGGGTTTCTTTTCTGGGGGATGGGGCTCGGTCATGCCATGCCCTGTTTGCCCAGCAAACTCCTAGGGTTTTCTTTTCTGGGGGATGGGGCTCGGACCTGGCTGGGTCCCATCAGCCTCTGTTGTGCAAGCCATGAGCTCCCAAGAGATCTCACAGCTCCTGAGCACCTGAGGTTCCCCCAGTTTGGAACCCCAACTGGAGTGCTCTGCTGTGGATCTTGCTGGTGCTCAACAACTGAGGTGAGATGTATATTACAGCATCTAAAATAAATGAATTCTCTGTATTTTAATACTTCTTCCCTCCAGAATACTACATTGTAAAGCATTCATGCATAACCACAGATACTTTGAAATATTTCTAATAAAAAACAGATCAGTAAAGATCACAATGTGAACAAATTTGTTGAGATCTTTGTTCCTTCCTTCCTTGCTTTTCTCTGCTGTTGCAATATGCTAGCATAACCATAATACAGCTTCTAGGCTTTGTTCCAACCTAAACTGTATCCAGTAACTCAGAGTCACCAAACACCTACTACATAATTTACAGCTTTGGAAAATATTTGTATTTTAACTTAAATGTGCTTGCAACCTGCACTTGGGGAATTCTAAAGCACCCAAAGATTGAACACATTTAAATCACAACTTTCACTGAATAACAATACCAAAATGTCTTTAAAACTGACATTCTGAGTGGTTGAAGAGAGATCAAAATATCTCAGAGCTGAAAAACAGGTAAGAAAAACTTTACACTGATAAGCAAAACTTCATGTCAATTTTGATTTTTAACGAAGTTAGGTTATAACATTTCTGTATTCACTTCTGCCTCCTTATTTTGCTCAGAATGAGAAACAAGAAAACATGCATATTGTTCCTCTGTTCTCATGGCACTTTTAGCCTGACTAAACCAAAGATCAGTAGAAAACTAAGAAAGTTCACAGTACAGTTTCAAGGCAGAAGCACGGGAAAATACACGACAAATTAACTCCCCAAGTTTGATTTTTTATCACAGTACAGTTTCAAGGCAGAAGCACAGGAATATACACAACAAATTAACTCCCAAAGTTTGATTTTTTTAATGAATATATTATCTAGAGCTTCTACAAATAATTCTTTTAAGTTTTGTTCTGTCTGAAATCCAAATGCAAATACTTATTCAAGCAGAATAGTCAAAGCAAAACCCAAGAACAATCAGCAAAGGAAAACAATTCCTGCATTTCTGGAATCTTGCAAAATACTTTCACTTGTTAAATGGTCTAAGCTTTTAGCAGGTTCCTGATATCATCACTCAATAGCATTTATTTTCAAGTCTCCTCTTAGGAATTTCTTATTTCCACCAAGGGAAGCAGAACACTGTTTATGGCAGTGGATCAATCATTTTTACAGACCTGTATATTAGAACCACTGGGTCAGTTCAGTTAAAAATTCTCTAAAAAGGAGACAAGCAGGTAAATGCTGAGGCAAAAAAAACCTCTTAGACTTGGTTTATTCCTTTATGATCCTCTGAAGGTACTTTTAAAATCTGAAATAAAAACTGTATCTGACCAAATTGTGTTTTATTCTCGAGACAAATGCCAGAACCTATGATTTTATTTTATCTACCAACAAGAACTGATCTTGGTTATGTCCAGGAAACCCTGCTGAAATCAATTAGTCTATGGAAAGGAAGAATAAATTGTTGGCAGGAAGGAGGAAAAGGAGGAACTTACATCTTCAACAAGTTTGAAACTAATTACTGCTCTCAGTTCATTTAGTCCTGGACAGGTGTCCACATTACCAAAACCACAGCAATTAACACATTTGTTGGCAGCCTCAGACACAGGCCAAAGACCAAAAAAGCATGGAAACTGGACAAACAGTAGAGCTCTATAGGTGGTCCTTCAAAAAAATAAAAATTAAAAAAAAGGAAGATTATGAAACTTACACTCTTGTCATTGATACTCCTAATGTAAGCTAGGAGACATCCATTTCCAGAGCTGTCAAGGCTGTTCAAGCTTCACCTCACTAAATTCACCTTTAAAAAAAGCCCTAACCTGCCTCCTTTTCCTCCTCTACACATAAACACTTTTCAGAACCTTAAATTTATTGCCTTACATTTACCTTCTGGTAAAGAAAAAAAAAAAAACCAAAACAACCCAGCAATTTTCTGGAAAGTCAGAAAAAAGTATTTATTCTCACTGGAATGGCAACAAATGATGGTGAGGACATGTGGACAAAATATGAACCAGTCAAAACTATGCACAAATAATCTGCAAATTAAGTTTACATCCATCTGTATGTCACTTTGAGACCTTTTTCCAGCTTTCTGAAATTTTCCAGAACCCTTGCTTTCCAAATGGGATGGTACTCACAAGGTTCCCACAAAACTTTTTGATTTAGGTTCCCAGCAGTATTTTCCCCCTTCTCCTTGAAGTGGTTAAGGAAGAAATACATGATGAAGGATTCTCAGCAGATTTCATAGACCTGGAAAGCCATTTGGCATCAAGAGAAAGCCAGGGATGTACTTGTTTAATGAAACTGAAACCAAAAATAACAAGTAGGAACACACCATTACCTCATAAAAATAAGAGCCACGTCAGACTTGATCAAAAT